TTTTTTTTTTAATTCTTTTTTTTTTGGCGCTGGCAGGTATGGGGATAAACCCTTGACCCTGTCATTACAAGGTTGTGCTTTAATCAGCTGAGTCAATTCGGCAGCGTTTTTGAATATTTTCAATCCACAGTTGGTTCAATCAGCAGATGCAGAACCTGTGGATACAGAGGGCTGATTGTATGTGCTTGGCAGTATTTTAGGCAGTTGACATATGGCAGTGAACAAACTACAGAAGTCCCTATTCTAATGGAGCTTCTGTTCCAATGGGAGAAAGAAAATAAACAAATATGACATCACACAGAGAAGTATCACCACAAATCCTATAAAGGAAAATGAACAGAGTAAGGGTATATTTCCATTAATACCAACATAAGCTCTAGAGAACCACCAATGATGAGGTCTTAAGAACCTATCCTTATTGATAAGTAACTTTTGGATTAGAAAGTGTGATTGTATGAGCGCAAAGAATGACAGCAGAAAACACACACACTCCTTGAATTGAAGGAGACACATCAAAAAGTATTAACAAAAGAAGCAAACCAAAGACCAAAACAGACACCAAAATTCTTTGAACACACTTAAGAATGTGTCCCTGAAAATTAAATTTTAAATAAGTACAGCAACAGATAGTCCTTCCATCAATCAGAACCAAGGGGGCCTCTTTTGAGTCAAGATACAACATTCCTAAGGGGCTGCTGTAGCCTTAAATGAAAGAATAACTTTGCTTATTCATATTACAGAGATACAGCTGGCTATCTAGGCTACTGTCTAGATTTAAAAGTAGTACTGGGTAATGGTTAAGAGCTTCAAGTGGCAGAGGCACCTGGGGGTCACCGACACTTTCAGTTGTCTCTGCCAATTATTAGCTGTGTGGCCTTGAACAACTCAACCTGTCTGTGAGGAATTGGAAGAAACTGTAAAGTGAGAATAACTGTATCTGCCTCAGAGGGTTGCTGTGAGGACTCCTGTGTGTCCAGAACATAGTAAGCAATTTTACTACAAAGAAAACATTCAACAGTACCATCTTTGAAAATGTTCAACAGTGCCACCTTTGAATATTCAAAACATGTCACCTTTTAGCCAAAGGCCAAGAGCAGATTAGTAATCAGAGTTGAAGACAAAATAAACAAAAGCAAATAGTCAAGTCATATACTCCCAATTTTCTGGGTAATTCAAGACTGACACCTTGACTTCTTCATAAAGAGGTACTTACTAAAACAGGTTTCTAGGAGATAGCTAGAATTGCTTAGCGAAAAAAATAGTACGAGGCTAGAAGTTAGGACATTGAATTTCTAGTCCTGATATAGTCCTTTCTGTTTGACTACTAGCAATTTACTTAACCTTTTTATTCACATATCCAGAAAAATACTTATCATATTTTGCTGTAATTTCTCTCCATCTATTTATCTCCCCTGTTCTCCAATCCTTAAGTTGACAACATCTCTGGAATTAGATCCATACCTCCAACATCTTTGCACCTCCACAGCCTAGCCCACAGTAAGTCCCCAATAAATAATGGATAAACTGGTGTTACCAACGGGTCAGGCTCAGCTTGCCCTCTCGCCTTAAACAAATAACCTGAAACTCCAAAAGTTGATGCAAGGATTGGAAGGTTTATTCAGATTACTGGCACTCAACTAAATGTCTAACCAAACAAAGAGAAAAGAAGAGCAGTGGGGTCCAGTTTAGCCTAGTCCTAATCGGCGGGACCAATTCCATTAACAGTAATTGATAAAAGCAGTTCTCCCCACTGTTTTCTGCATAAAGAAAAGTATCGACTAGATTTAAATCAGAAAAACAAAGCACAGCCGGGAGCCCTCCAGGGTGCACCTATACAGACGTGGGTACAATTCAAGCAAACAGAAGAGGGCTCAGAAAATCTGAGAAAGATAAAGAGAATAAAGCACTGCCTTGTCAGAATTTAGGCCAGGGACTCCAGGAGAGATCTACCAGCAGCAGAGACATGGGAGCAAAATAGTCCCAGTGGCCACTTGCCTCTTGCAGCTAGAGTCTTTTCTGGTGTCCAAAGCTTTCCAATTTTTACCAGTGATTAAATTAGCCTCTCGGATTCCAAAATCATAGAAATGAACGATGTACCCGAATAGTAAAGCAAACAAGGCTTTATTAAAAGAGGAGATAGACTTATGCATAGGTGGGGGTAGCGACAGTAAACCTAGCCCAAGGGGAGCTGTTCAGGGTCTTTTACAAGGAAAGGAGTTAAGGGGTGGCAGGCCAGCGTCACTGGAGGCGGTCTGTTCTGTTCTTCCTAGTTGCATCATGGGCGCATGCTCAGTAGGCAGTGGTGTTCATCACTGTCACCCCAAGAGGGTCATTGTAGCAGTCACCTTGATGCTTTGTGCACAGGTGGGAATTCCTAAAGGGATCTTAAGGTTAACCTGTAATTTTTATAATTATAGTAAACAAGCCTTGGGGAGGGGTTTTGCAACTCAGTAAATATCTGTTTCTGCTCTCATCTCAGTCTATTTTGTCAGGGCAGCCCATGGGGTAATTATTTGCTCCGTGGGGTCTCATGACTGAGGAGAGGGAAAGTCACAAAGTGTCCTCTGCAGGGAAAATGGAGTCAGTTTGGTTCGCAGGCCCAGCCTTACTGTTTCACTGGTATCACTTTCCTTATCTGTGAGGGGCTTATCTTGATCCAGCACTAATATTTTGTGAAATTCCAGGACAGGAACGCAGTGAAAGAGCGAGCTGTTCTTCCATTAGATCCTGACTACCTACACTGGCTGTCAATCTACGGCAGCGACCCTTACAGACACAATCAACGACTCCTGTGACCGTATGCAGAAATGTCAGCTTTGTTCGTGCCCTGAGTCTGACTCGTCAATTAACCCAGAGATCGGAGGACAGACAGCCGGCGCTGGAATGTTTACCTCTGCTGCCGGGAATCAAATTCGACCTTCCCCCGCCCGCCCCCTCCGGCGGTCTCTCCGCGCGCGGTGTCTCACTTTGTGGCCGCCGCATGCCTCGGGCTCCAGATGTACAGCGAACCCAAAGAGGACTTGCTCGTAGCAACCCGCGACGAGCTCCATCCAGCAGCGAACGTGTCTCTTCCGCGTGCCCGGATCAGTCTAGAGACGACTAAACCGGATACGAAAGGAGGGGTCCTTTGTGAGTCGGCGCTCACGTTATACGTCATCGTCTCAGGGCTGCCTTTTAGGTGCCTGTATCCATGGAAACGGTTTCGACGCTTGGAGATCACGTGAACCATCCAAGCGGAGACTAAGGAAGGACGCCACACGCCAAGTTTCTCAATGCAAGGAGAAAAACACAGGGACAAGCGGGCATATTCCAGGATGCTGTGAGCAAGGCTCGTCTGAGGGGAGTGGGCGGGACATCCTCCGCGGAAGCCCCTCCCTTCCGGGATGTCTCAGGACGGGGCGGGCCCGGGGCGGGGCCGGGGGCGCGAGGGGACTGCGGCGGTTCCCGCTGGCACTGTGGTGCCGCTAGTCAGTGTTGTGGGCTGTGATACGAAGGGTAAGAGCTGGGGTTCCTTTTTGTGCAGGAAGCAGTGGAACGAGCCTTGCTGTCGTAACAGGGCAAGGAGGGGTGGGATTTAGGGTTCACGGTTGCCGGAGCCGGCGGGGTCAGCCCCCGGGACCGCAGCGACAGGCTTGGATTGTGCGAGGCTGAGGTCCGGGTGATGTAACGCTTGGTGAGCGTTCTGGAAGGAAATCTCACGTTTATTCCAGTTTCACCACTTCCCCTTCCCTTTTAGGTGCAAAGTCATTCACCGTCTTGTAGCAATTCCTTCACTTTGTGCTAGTTGACTTCATTATGTTACACAAAGTCCCAAATTATTTTACTTTTTAAATTATTTTCTGTTCACTGTTAATTAACCATTTCCACGAGAAAACCACTGAGGTCAGAGGAGTGTGCAGTGGGTGTCCCCTTGGCATGGGACAAAGAATCACTGAGCAGGACATTTCTTTGAAGTCTCGTATTTTATCTTAAAAAATAAGGCTTTTGGCATTTTGCTCCATGACATATCAGTTCATTTTAATGCAAAAGTAATATTCTGTCATCCAAAAAGACAAAGAAACTGAATAAAACTGTTTCAAATTCCCATGCTTTATGTATTCTATTGCTTCTGGAATGTCTCTGGTACCCTGCCTCTTTACCCAAGGGAAATCTCAACTGCTCTTGCATTGGTACTTGTTTAATATGTTTTTGAAATTAATATTAACTTACCACTATATAACAGGGCAATTACTATATTCAGTATCTGTTACCAGACTGTCACGCTTCTACCTTCTTAAATATTTGCCGTCTTTTAGAGAAGAACCTTGTGGCTTGAAAAAGTCTTTTGGTCCAACCAAGAATCTTAGAATATATAATAAAAACCATAGTGTAAGCACCGTAATATAACTCATAGTGGTTTTACTTTTTTTCAACTGTTAGAAATTAGTGGGATCAATCAGAGCTCAGAGGACTTAGAGAACATCTAGTCCCGATAATATTAATCTGGGGGCTTTATGGATAAGTTTCAAGGGTTTTGAATCCCCTGAAACTGTATGCAAAATTGTGGATGTACATTTTTGGAAGAGAATTGACAAAATTTATTTGTTTTTAAAGAGATTAGTGCCTTGTTAAGGTTCAAATGCACTAATTCAGTTTTACGTTATAAATGCTGAAATATGCCCAGAAAAGTGCCTTTTTCAAGACCACACAGCTAAGTAATAGTAAAGTCATTACTGCTGCTGTTTTTTATGTTTCCTTGGCCTTGACCATTCTCATTAACAGAGAAGAAAGAAGCAGCATTTTATTTCATTCATGGTCACGGCAGTAGTTTCCTAACTTGCTCAGGTTGTGGATTTTCACTGTCTGAAGAGAAACATATAATACAGAATTATACACCCGTTCAACTAGATTTGAACTGAGCATACTTCCTGTAAATCCTCTTTCCAAACACAGGATGTAAAAAGCCATTTAATATCATTTTGTGAAAACCGTACTTGCCAAGAAACATCCAATTGTTAAGTTCATTAATCAACACTAAAGCACACTGATTTTTTTTTGTAGTTTTGCTTTAAATTATTGATTGAAAAGCTTTTTGCACTTGAGCCATGCATTGATTTACTCATTCGTTCAACAGATATTTCTTAAGTGCCTAGCTTTGTTTGGTTTGCTAAAGAAACAGCTAGTTGGGTTTTTTTGGGTTTTTTTGTTTTGTTTTTTTTGAGAAGTGGGGAAGGTTGTGGTAAGGCTAAGAGCAGGATACAGTGGGGAAAAAAATCAGCCCTGTTAGGAATATCAGGAGAGTCTAACATTCCTGCTCAATTACCCTCCTTTCTCAATGTGATAGGAGGCAACTCTGTTGAATTCTAGGACTACAGGGGCTGGATGTGGTTGTATCCCCAGAACTTTTGTTTTCTATTTTCCAGAACTAAGGGAAGCAGAAATAGCTTCCTTTGGATACTGTCCTATAGTCTCCCCTGATATAAAGTTGCTTCACCTGCTTCTAGGGAGGTGAAGGTGA